TGAATCCAAGCACCTCCGGGCTCCTCATTCGGGACGATCTTTACACTGAATTTTTAATCGGGTTTAATCACTGGCAGTATCACCCTCGCTGTACGTTTTGTGGCTTAAATCACGCTAAATAACTAGAGCAGCGCATTAAATCAAAGGTTTTGTCCTCCATCCTGCATTATATTTAGAGATGAATGGCAGCTCTCCATATGATAGTTGTATGTATTTTGATAAATGTAATCTTTGAAAGGCTTCTTTGCAAGTGGGCACATTTTAATATGCATCGGCTATAATTTAGTATTTATAGGCAATTTTCAATCTAATTTTGCGTAAATTGACTTGCTAGTGTGACAACTATGACTCAGGCGTTTTGGAGCGTCATTCATGACATGCAAAGTCCATCCATCCATTCCTCCAGACAGGAGAGACCAACGAAGGGATATCAGTGTGATCAAGGGATACCAGTATATACTGTAACAGGATCCATGCCCACTCACTATGGGCAGTTTAGAAAGGATAATTCACCAAACCAGTCACTGGACTGAACAAAGAACCCGAAGCCCGGATGAACATGAGGAGAACTTGCAAACACCATATAATAAGCCATGGCTGCAAACATAGCTTCCAAGGCCCAGCTGAGTCAGTTCTGGGGGGCAAAACAAGCGACAAGCAAACAAGCTCCCCTTTCAGAGTGCCGTGTGGCTGAGTGCACTAAGCCCCTATGCCTGTGATCTGAAGCCTGCTGGTTCTAGCCCAGCCTTGGCAGAATGACCGTATGACCGTGGGTCCTAACCTCTAATTACGTACAGTGACAGGGTTAGTGCCAGGGGGGGCTCCTTATCACACAAGGTGCTGCCCCTTCACTATGACCTTCACTATGACCTTCACTATGACCAGTTTTCAGGGACCCCCCAGGTTGTCCACATTTCTGCTCCTTCCCAGCTCCCAGCAGGCGGAGTGATCACTGTGAGGCTTGGGATCTGTGCCAACAATCGGAAGGTTGCTGGTTCAAATACCATGAATGCCCAGAGTTGTCCACATTTCTGCTCCTTCCCAGCTCCCAGCAGGCGGAGTGATCACTGTGATGCTTGGGATCTGTGCCAACAATCGGAAGGTTGCTGGTTCAAATACCATGAATGCCCAGAGTGACCCTATTCCATTAGGCCCTTGAGCAAGGCCCTTAACCTGCAATTGCTTCGTCTTGATTATGATGTTAACCTACATCCAGTCCCTGAAGACTGGTTTGAGAAACACTGCCCTGAGCTTCATGGACAGCAAGATGGGGTAAAGCGATAAAGAGAATCACCCCATGGGATCGATAAAGTATCACTATTCTGTTCTGTTCTGTTCTATTTATACAAAGATGTTCTGAGGGCAGAAGGAAGAATTATTGGTTATCTCTCTGAACCAATTATACTGTAGCAGAGGTGGGTCCAAGCAACTAGGGAAGGCAGGACCAAGCAAAAAGATATCTTGGACCCATCTCTTCTACAATCTGATTGGTTATCTCCCTGAACCAATCATTCTTCCTTCTGCCCTCAGAACATCTTTGTTTAAGTAAATCTCCCACAAGCTTCTATTCTATTCTATTCTATTCTAATCTGTTCTGTTCTGTTCTATTTTATTCCATTCACTTAAGGGGTGCAGCACCCCCTAGTGGGCCATAGCTGCAGCTCACCAAGTACCACTTTTTGGGAGGCATTGGAGCTCCGTATCACACCAGAGAAGGGGGGCCAGATGTCCATGAGGTCAGGGGACAGCGAGGTGAGCTTGTTACTGGACAGGTCCAGGTAGGTGATGTGGCCCAGCAGGGGGGCGGCCTCGGCCGGCACCACGCTCAGCCGGTTGTTGTGCAGGTCCAGTGTGCGCAGGCGGGGCGTCTCGCGAAGCTCCTCCCACGGGAAGGAGGTCAGCTGGTTGCCGTCCAGCCGAAGCTCGTGCAGCTCCTTCAGGTTGTAGAAGCTCCTGGGCTCCACCAGTGCCACGGCGTTGTAGGTCACCCAGAGGTAGCGCAGATCCACCAGGTAGTAGAAGGCTTCGGCGGGGATGCGGCGGACGGCTGTCTTCTCCACGCGCAGCTTTACCGTGTCCATGGGGATGTTGGCTGGAATGTCTGACATGTCGGGGTCGTCGCACAGCACAGATCTGCGTGTGGGGGGGGGGGGCGGCACAGCGTGAATGCTCAGTATCAGTCACAAGATCTAACTCTGCTACGTTTTGTAGTGAGAGGGTACGGCAATCATTTTACTCCAGCTTGTTTGTAAATATGCTAAAGGCTAACCTCTCACTTTGAATAATGGCTTCAACATGGCTGGAATGAACACTTTTCCTATTATATTAGCAAGGATACTAACTTTGTGCTATACTTGTAGAGACGGTTGATAATCAGGCCAATGTAGCGAGGCAAACCTTTCTTATACAATCTCCTTTAGAGCAGTACATCATTAATTCATCCATGTTATACTTATTGTGTCGAGATCACGGCCAAAATTTTCATATAATAGCAAAACCTGACACTTAATTTAACAGAGACTTTTGTTCAAAGCGACATAGAGATGAGGCAGATTAGCACATCGCAAACGTACATGCTGTCAAAGAGTCGACTGGGCGTAAGTGCAGCCAGGGTAGCTTCTAGGGGGCTAAGTCAGGCTTACTTGGGGCTTGACTTTCTTTGCTTTTGAAGGAAGATTGGCATCGTAGCCAAAATACTCAGGAAAAGGATTAAAAATATTCAGGGCCACAGCCCCGGGTGAACAGACCTAACGATGCCCTAATGCAGGGGTGGCCAATCCTATCCGCAAAGGGCCGGCGTGTGTGCAGGTTTTCGCTGCAACTCCCTGATTAGATTACTAATTAGAGGACTGATTGGTCCTCACACCTGGGTTTGAACAGCTGACCTACAGGTTATCCCAAAAACCTGCATACACACCGGCCCTTTGCGGATAAGGTTGGCCACCCCTGCCCTAACGAATGCCCAGGTACGAGTGTCAGCAGTCTCCCAAACAAACCAAGGACCTACTAAGACTATTCAAGAACCAGAAGTGCAACATTAGAACATTCAGGGAGCTTAAAGGGGCATCAGTTTAGGAGAAGACGTTTCCACTAATGCCTAATGACAATGGTGGATGGATGATAAAACATCAGTTTCTCAGATACAACAAATCCTTCATAATTCCTGGAAACTAAGAATTTGGGTGTTAAATGCTATAACCAACTGGAGGTTTATCTATGAGGGCTAAAAGGAAGGGATCTGGCAGGATTAAGGGATGGATTTAAAGCATGGTATAATAAGAAGATATATATTAAAATTTGTAAGAAACACTTTCAATGAGAGATGAAAGCTAATGAAAATATGTAGTAAATACACTGAGGATGGATTTGAAGAGGGAGCTGACACTGTGAACCAGCATGGCCAGGCTCTGCTCCTGGAATTCCCAGGGCGAGAGGAGAAAACATGCAAGCCACATCTGGCTGTGAAACCTTGGGGTTTCTAAAAACATCGCCTATCTAGGCAAAAAAAAAAAAGGTTTTTATTTTAGGACACTGAAATCTAACAACAATTTAGAATTTTAAGGCATTGGCCTACTCATAAACCGACATGGCCTAACCCCTACAGTCCAGATGGAGTGCTGTATTAGTGGATTAGAGATTAGTAGAACGTACGCAGCAAAGACGGGAACATTAACCGTAAATATTCCTTCTATCACGCAACAAACTCTGCAAAGGACTTATTCACGTTTACATCTATACTTTATTGCATTGTTTATTTTTGATACAATTATAAAACAACGCTTATTTTGAGGATGGCACAGATCAATCAATTAGAAAGGAAAATGATGAGCAATCGATTTGTTTACCGAAATAAACAAGGTGACGTCAGAGACGATCAGGCGTAAGAGGGCCCCACGTACCTCGTGCTTGTCCCATCGGAGCTGTTGTGGTCTGTGCAGGTGCACTGCGATGGGCAGGAGGAACAGGCCACCTGCAAGAAGAAGAAGCTTAGGAAGACATGGAGGTAAAGCAGTACAAGCATGATCAAGGAGACTGGTGCAAAATTCTCCTATCTGAGAGAGAGAAAGCGGTCATCGCAGGGTTTTAAACGACGACACCGGTCCAGACAGCATGCACACGCAGATCACGGGCGTCCGGCCATCGCAGCGCACAAAGACGGAGCCCGGATTAGCGGAGGGATTGCGAGGGTGGATCAGGTCGCCCGGGGCCCGGGGAATTAGTCGGGCGGTGCAGGACAATAGAGGAAAACGAGCAATTAGTCATGTGTGAACAAGAGAAAATGCAAACTTCATGAAAAAAAGAAAATACCAGTAATATATACAAATATCTACTTTGGCATGGTTTAGTGCGAAATCACACAAGTATTATTTTAGGATTATTTGAAATGCCAGTGCAAACCTATTTCAGGCAGTACCACTTGTTGCTTAAGAAATGTTGTAGTTTATGTTTTTTAACATAAACCGTCAAAGATAAGCGTACTATCCATTTGTACAAATCTTTTTATGCCATTTATTCATAATGATAATACACTTAATAGTATTTATTATGCGGCACATCTTCATTATTCTGAATACGCGTGACATAATCTTTCATCGGCTGACGTGCAGGACTAAAAACCACGGCGACCGTCGCCATCTGTTGGTCGCTATTGCTCCTTTCACGTCGCTGGCTTTTACTCACTTTTCTTAAAATCACCAATGAAATATTGAGTTATTGGGTTAGGTATATTTAATATGCATTCAAAATAATAAAAATTCATTTTTCAAATCACGATGGCTTTTTTATATGCCTGCTTTAAAACGTTTTACATAAGTAGTTGAATGCGACTAGGAAAAGTCTATAAGAATAATTCCCCCCGTCCTGATTATTTTGGTGATTTTAAGTTATAAGGCGCTACTGCCATTGCTGGGCGCCGGATAGCCGCCTGGCCGCGTTTGCCTCAGTCGTGGGGCCGGGCCCCGGGGAAGCTCCGGATCTGGCTTATTACAGTCCTGCCCCCGCCGGCTGAGCTCGCACTCCTCCCCGTGACGTGCGCGGCGGGGGAGCGCAGAAGTGCGCACGTTTCGGCCGGGATCTCCGCTGTCACCGCCGCACCTGGAGGAGCGCCCTGCAAGCGCCCCCCTGCCCTCCGGTGAAATGTCCTCCGATTTACACCCCAATATCAGCAACCGACTTGATCTCCAAGAACGGGAAAATAGTACAAGGGATCACGCGTACAACGCCTTACAAGACCAGGTAAAACATCAACATGAGTATATCATGGGCAGCCGTGCAAGCGAGTGACGTGAATATGAAAGGCACTTAAGTTATGATCTAAACTATTGTTGTTTTTTAAAAACAATTTTTTCTGGGTGAATAGATAGTATTTAATCAACATTGCATTGCCATTCGCGCAGATCGTCCCAATTATACTGGATTAAACAGGCTTATTGTTGCGGGTTTATTACCGTCAGATACCATTTCCGCGCTTATCCTAAGCTTAGGGGTTTGCACGCCGGGCGCATCTAGTTTAGGTTCAGTACAGTAGCTACTTATTAGTAGGTGTTTTCTTGTTTACCTACTCGGATTGTGGAAATTCACTCGGAAATCCACGTTAATTTCACTTTACGACAGTTGTTTTGCGTTTGGCTGTGTGTGTAAAGCAGTTTTTAGGGTTTACCCACAGTCAATAAAAAGGAAGTGAAATAGCGCGGCTTATTAATGGGACTTTCCATTCCCTTAGGAGGAGGACAGGAGTAAAGCCGGCGCCTCCCGTCATGGGTCGGATGACTGTCAGAGGCTGGGCACCTTGTTTGGGGAGCTCAACAAATGTCTTCGCAGCCTGGGCTTCTCACAGGTGGTTTTCGGGGAGAAGACTGTGGACCCGGTGGTGATAATATTTTTCTGGCTCATGCTCGGGTTCCTCGGACTGCAGGCTCTTGGGTTGGTGGGTGTCCTGTGCCTCGTCATCATCTTCATCCAGAAGTAGACGCAAAAATGATTTTTTTTTGCCTCTATTCTCCGACTGGTATTTCACCGATAGAAAACACGGATGAATCTCTTATTGGACCCTTAATTAGATTGATTACTGAATGTTAAGGGTTGTTTTGGAGGGAGGAGATTCAAGTCATTTTTAAACCCGATAAAGGTGTATTGTTTTAAAATGTATACAGTTGAATCAAGGGTTGATGTAATTGTTCAGGTATGACTCCACTCTCCCATCCAAATATGTACGCAGTACAGGGTGACGAGTATAATCGGGCATAGCAACACCCTGGATAGGATGTCAGTCCATCGCAGGCCACACACGCGCACAGTGGGCGACATGGAGATGCCAGTCAGCCAACTGCATGTCTGTGATACGGAGAGCAGGATTTAATCCCAACCCCCATTCAGGTGTTGCGTGGAAATCATTCTACCCAATGAGCACCTTTCGTTGGGGGGGGGTGACTTGGGGCACCCCCTCTCTTCATCATCAACACAAATGAAACTTAGTAGCTGACGGACAGGAGAGGTGTTCTGTTATGGGTGTGGGGGGTCTGCTGTTCGGCTGCGTTAAACGTGTTATTTGTGGCGGACCACACCCTTGAAACTGCCGAATTTAAACAGTTTGTTTTTGGTCTTCAGCGTAATGAAGTGCATGGAAAGTGGAGGCAGGCTACACAAACTGTAAAAACCCAGGAACTAGTCCCTTATATCTCTGCTTAAGATGACTTTTATTTTATTCATTTTCTTCTCTGTTGTTTTTGACCACCAGTCGACGTTTCGCGTTCTTTAATGTGAATGTAGTCTATCTAAATGAAATGAAAGAATGTACTTAATCCTAAAAAGTGTATATTTAATTTTTAGAACAATGTCTTGGTTATTACCATGTACATATAGCCATAACTTTTTACACAGAATCACCCCTTGGTATATGACATGTAAGGTTTTCACATTAGCTTCCTGAAAAATGTGTTTGTCCTACACCAAACAAATGTTTATTAATGAAAATGTGACGGACTGTTACAGTTACACAGGCACAAATGCTACCATGCTGAAATTCCATGTGCCTTTGCGTGTTGGGGGTGGTTATTTACCACATTTGCGTTTTAGAGCACAGCAGACTTTGAGTTAATGGAGATGGCAATCTAAGCATATTGTGCCTGGTTTTTAAATAATAAATGATGTTTCCACTAAGTATAGTAGATTTGCTTCGCATGACTGACTGATCGCACACACAGAAATGAGGCCAGACACAAAGTCCAGCCACAATATAAACCATGACATAGTTTTCATATTTTTTTTATTTCCAATAGGCTCTATCCAGCACACTGCTTTGTCAAACACGAAGCACGAGGGACAGTCGCATTGCCTCTCAGCAGATAGCATTAGGCAGCGTGAAACCTTGGGAATTACGGGCCTTTGGGAAGATACAGGACTCATGGAAGGGTGTTTACTGAAATGAACACAAGCCCATCTGCACTGTCTGAGGAAACTGCCGCGTCCTGCAGCTCCCATATTCACTCTTATTTGAGAAACGGTGCATTTGCAGGCTGGAGTTACATTAGTAACTATTTTCTTCCTTTACGTTAATATTTTTATCCGTGGTGGGTGCATATTTTGTATGTCATCTACTGTGCTGTTGTTTTTGTCAGTCTTTTTTGCAGCAAAGTCCTTGTGTGCCACATATAATAAAATTTTCAAATCCTGAAGTCTTGAATCATGGAGACTTGAGTCCTGCCGTGAATAAACATAAACAATTCATTTGTAATTTTTAGCTACAACTGTTGCCGTATCTCCCGAATATTCTGTAAAGAAAGAGCTGTTACCCTCGAACCACTTACAAGATGTCAGGTATTAATTGGATGTCAGTTGCATCCGACTATGCAGACATCAATTGTTTGACTGGATGTGGCCCACCTCTTATTTTGGACTTGTAACCAGTGTGCTAAAGTTACTTGTTACTATGGTATTCATAGTGTGGTTTGTTCATCCATTCAACCATCCATCCTTAAATCAATTACTGCCATCCATTAAAGGGTCACAGTGTAGTTTGATCATTTGGCACAGAAATAAACATTCTTTTTAGTTAAAAATACATTTGAAAGAATATCTGCTGTTATGGATGGGTGATATTAGGAGAGGTGAACTACAAATGCACTGCAGAGACCTTTACAAAGGTGCTTTTTGACTTCTGGTCTAGAGGTTGCAGGTTTTATCTGCCCACACAAAATGTGCCGTCGTCCCTGGGGGGGGGGTCTCACCCAGGTTGTGTGTTTGATTTCTCGTGGGAGCACCGCGGACCGCTAAGTGCGCTACCGGCTTTCCGAGAATGTCACACGCGAGCTAATGACGGGTACGGTTACAAAGCAGGCCTAGGGCACCTGTATTTGTACCGGGAATCGAGATCTACGAGTTCTGTGGGAAATTTGGCAGGTACTGCTGAGTCAGAAGCCTGTTACATGAGACTGCACTCACACTGTGATGCTGGGGGCAAGGAATGGCACGATTCATATAATATAAAACTTAAGAAAGAAAATCAGATGGCACATACTAAACACAGCGAGAACTAGATGAGGAGAATGTATTTTGCAATTCAGTGATGATTTATGAAACAACAGATGTTCATTTGAAGAGTAAATATTGTATAAAACAGAGAAACCAAAAAATTAAACCTACAGTACATACATTCAGAAAGAGGTGTGACTCTGGGAGTGGTAGTGGACTGTAATGAGCAATCATTCTGGTTTCCATCTCCCGTTAGAATGTAAAACGGGTAACGGAAAAGAAGTTTTAACCCAGGGACTGTGTCTGTGCCTGATCAAACCAAAGGAAAACCCCATCAAGAGATTCTGCTGTTTTTGTTAAATGTCAAAATCTCACTTGCTGTCTCCAGTTTTTACTCTGAGTCTATAAAATATATATATATATATATATATATATATATATCAAGATAAGGTTTGTTTTAAAAAGCAAGCACACACACACACACACATAGTGTTGTCATTACTGAACGAAATGTTTCTATGGTGACGGGACACCACTGCACCCAATCAGGATGTGGGACAGCCACCCGCAGAACTTCCTGGAAATTACAAGCCAGGCTACTTTGGGGAGAAGACAAATCAGTTTGGCACAGCAGACCACCCTGAACGGGAACAAGGAGGACCCAAAACTCCAGGCACTGGCTGGGAAGAAGAACCACGGCAGGATTATGTTGGGCGAGACACTGGGATCGGGGGTGCAACCGAAAGGAGTTATCATAAGGCTGCAGACCCATTTCTGAGAAGACGGTGCCTTTGGTCACTGGGCTGATGCCAAACAAAACAAGGTAGGGACAAAAGGGTTTAGAACAGACATCCTGTGACGTAGACCGCAGGCCAGACGGGGGTATAATGCCTTAGGTGTGGACCATATTCTACAAAGCCCACTTGGTTCCATGATACTTATACAGAAACACCATGTCCTTTAGGGTACCCTGTTCAGGAAAAAGATCTACAGAAGTGCAACTAATTAAATGGAATGACCGCTAAAATAAAAAGGAAAGTTCTGATGAGGAGCAAGATAAAAAGGGAAAAAAATAAGCCGAGCGGAATAATAACTAAATAATCCTTCAGTCCTTTGGATGATAAACGATAATGAGTCCCCTTTGTGCACACCAGTTCACCAAGTGCCCTTCACCAGTTGAAGGAAAGGATTAGTCTTTTCTTTCTTATTAGAGGATGGGTTGGGATTCGCTGCAGTCTTAGCTGAAACTGGTGCCTTGGCTGGTATTGGTGCTTTTTATAATCTGCCCTCATTCTGTTCCCGCCTCCCATTGGGCCTATCTGTCCTGCTGGTCGCTGTCCCAGGACGGCGCATCCAGGACGGGATTGACGAAGCCGTCGAACTCGGGGTCGTCGCAGTCCTCGGCGCGGGCGCTAACGAAGTCGTCCTCCCACTCCAGGGAGGTGCCACGGTCCCAGGCACCAGACTGCTGAACCATTTCTGCCTGGGATTCACCTACAGGGAGCATGACCAATCAGTCTAGGTCATTCCTGTGATTGATGGCACTGCATATGAAGGAAATCCAATGCAGTGACATGAGAAATAAACACCTTTGAATAACAAATCAGAAGCGGTCAGAGAAAAGGCTTCTACCGTCAGACCGTCCATATCCTGAATGACGTCTCCCATTGCCAACAAGCTTTACAGCGTCGTACACTGTCACTGTGCATCCTTGCAGGCCAGCTCCTCCCAAAGATAAACATCAGGCTACCTGCAGACACCGGCCCACCTAGCTGCCCTTATTTGGAGTGTGGGATGTGACCCAAGCAAACTCCACACGCGCAGATTCTGGGTCAGGAATCAAACCCACATATCAAACCACAAACTTATCTGCATTGCTACATGAATGCATTTGGTTGTTGGGTGTCTGCATTATTCAGCTTATCAGACAAAACAACAAACCTATTTCTTGAAAATTGAAATCAGTGGTTATCATTAAAAGCCGAAATGTTATATGGTAACAAGATACACGATACAGCAACTAATATAATGCATTACAGACTGGACCATGTGCCCTTGAATGTAAATGTTTTAGTACTTAGTACTGAAAGACATTTTTTTTGAACATGCAGATTTGTATCATGTTGATGTGGTATAAAAATACATGTCATCACAGGTTTTTAAACGCATATTTTAATGCCAATGCTGTGTAGGAAAGTGCTGTTTCGGGGTAAACAGAGGGGGGAAAATCCCGTGTCGAGATGGATTTCCTCTCGTTTTTCTGCCCCAACGGCCTTCCATACTGAGGACCTGCAGTGATTCGGAAAGTATAATCGAGATACTGCTGGAGAGAGAGAATGGACTGTACTGCAAATGTTGATTACAGACAGACAGACAGACAGAGATTTAGATCTCAAGAATCCCATGTAATTCCATGATTTTCATGACCGTACGAACCCTGTTACTACTCTGTGCGGAGCGACCTTCCTGCATGCTTTACCCGAGGTATAGCAAACGCAGGGATTCAAAGACAAAGACTTAGACGGCCAAATGAGAAATTGACGGAATCTATGTAGTTTTATCAATACAACATCTTATGAGGGGTGATTAAGCATAACACCTGTGTAGGGTCCCCGAGGCAAACTTTTTTTGTTTGATCTAATCCCACCCACTGTCCACGATTGGCTGACATAAATGTGATGGCACAAGATTGGTCAGCAGGACTAATTATGCAGTTACCAGCATGCTTTGCACCACACCGTGCGCATCTGTAAATAGTGTTATTTCATTTGTGTATTTATGTTGTACATAGCAAATGTCAAAATTGTGTATAGTTAGCCATAATGTTCGTGCTTCGTCAAGAGTGTTGTGTAAACTTCCCTCTCTGTGTTGCTAGTTAGACCAACTTCCATTTTAAAAGTGATGTCATCTCTTTTAGTAAAATGACTCACTCGCCACGATATCTTTATTTGCGCTCTTGATGTGGGACAACCGCATCGAAAACATTCTGCACCCTATAGGCTTGTGGCGAACAAGGTGACGTCGTTTTAAGCATGCGGCAGACGGTTTTCGCTGACACACTTGATTTTGTTTTGTCCAGGCATTGTCTGAAGTACCTTACGACGTTTCCTTTCAGAACAGAAAGCTTGTTGAATGTAAACACAGCTCGGCGTGAAGTTAAAACAAGGTCCAGCCTGTGTCAAGGTTTCGACATCAAGGGTGTTCAAAACAGCGGGGTCACAAGGCTAATGATAAGGTTGGTCCCACTGTTTAAATTTGGCTGCTCTTTTGCCTCCCCCCCCCTCCCCCACCTTAAAAAAAAATCCCAGAATCGCACCTGCTCGACATTAAAGTGGAAATGAGCACGGAGATGTACATTAAAGCACGATGGTTTAGGGGACAGTGTAATGTCCACCACTAACCTTCCTCACCATCCCACTCCAGCTCCTCTGAAGATCCATCATCGTTGAGGGAACGTTGCCTTCTGCTGATGAGGTCACGACCGCTCCCAGTGCTGGGTGTTGCCATGGCAACGCCTAAGTAAAGATCAAAGGGTGAAGCCAGGCGGGCGTGTGCCAAATGCAGTCTAACGTAGCTGAAAGCAACAGGTCTGCAAAGAATGCCCTTGGACTTACTACTACTCCTCAGTGCCTCCTGCTGGGGGACTCCGGTACTGCTTCCTGCCACCAGCCTAAAAGTCACACAGTCTGTAAAACACTGTCCGTTTGCGTCCAGTAGATGGTACATCGTTAAATATGGTAGCTTCCTTTTTGCAGGGTGGTAATTTCAGTTTCTAAAAAACACTTCAGCCACGTTTAACGCATTTTAGAAAAATCTGTTTCTTCTCAATGTTTAAAAAAAAAGTCCTGAGTGGTGATGTGGAATATTGTGGAATTTTGCATTAGTGAATGCAGCTTTACTTTTTAAAGGTTTCTCACATAAAATTTCTAATATTTAGAAATTTGGCCCTGGTAATCAACAAAGCAAAGGTAATAGCATTACAGCTTGAAGTTCTAAGTCTGGCTCAATTGCCTTTACAGGTCAAATTTTTAATGTTAATTGTCTAATTAAGCTATGAATTAAGCTTTGAATTTAAAAATCATTTTGAATCAGACTGTATGAAGAGCTCATTGATGCCTGGTAGATCAGATCAACAAAGTTTAGAACCATCTACTCACGTTGTCTGAGGATCTCCACAGCTTCCAGCTTCTGCACTGGTGTCCCTGCTTTGCGCCTGCTGTGTTAAAACACCGAAAACTCACAGGAAAATCACCAAAGAGCCGGTTGTACAGCTTGTTACCCAAAATTATTTTAAATATTCTCGAAAAATTACTGACTTTTCTTTTCTTTGGGAAGTGCCAGAGAATCTAACATCTGTAATCAATGTTTAATTACAAATTTGTTCTAATACAGCAGAGTATTAGTGACTAAACAAAGTATATATTATAAATTCAGGATTAAAGTAATGTATGAATAAGGATGAACATTAAACAGTAGTGCTAGTTATGCTTATGTTTCATGTCAGCCCACAAGTACGCCCCCTGGGGGATGAGCAGTATCACAGCAGAGGGTCCAGAAGAGGATCTGAATCCATCAAACCCAAATTCACCATCCTTCAGCAGGCTGTCTAAGGACATAGATGTGTAGTAAGGCCAGGATGCCACTGGGGTCCAACCCATGGGTGTCGTTGTGTGGTTCAGAGGGTTAGCGGAAGGTTGTTGGTTCGAATCCAAGGACCGGCAAACTGATGCTGTGTTTGGGCTCTTTAGCAAGGCTCTTAATCCCCAGTTCTGCCAGGGGTTTTGGATGCTGCCTGGCCCTGTGCTGTGACCCCCCCCCCCCCCCCCCAGCTTGCTCTGAAACGAGGATTTCCTCACCAGCATGAATAAAGTATCACTATTCTATATCCTGACACCCATGAACTGAGAAGGTAGAGACTGGGAGTCGGGACTGATGTGTCACACGTGCACTGGAGAGGCTATGGCCCCTCCACTCCTCTATGGCTGAGTGAGCTGAGGAGGGGGGCACTGAGGAGGTGCGAGAGAGCGTCCTCAGCACTGCGGGGCCTCACCTCCTGCCACCTCCTCTCCCGCACCCTCCTGGACGCCTCTCGCTGGGCCGTGCACTCCGCCTCCTCTTCCTGCCTCAGTCTCTCCTCCTCTGCCGCTAACTGGGTGGGAATAACAGCGCAACGTGGTCCGGTGGTCAAAAAATGGCAGAAAAAGGAGAAAATTAAGGTCATAAAAGGTTAATTACAGGTTGTAGTGAGAGAGCACTAATGTGGTGAATTTGCTCTGGTGGCTGGTATTTAATCACAATTATTTCAAATACAGGATTGTGAGAATCTATTAAACAACATATTTAAAATCCAGAGCTGTAATAAAAAATGTTGCTGGAAATAATCAAAAACTAAAATTAAGACATTAAAGGTAATTGCTTATTTAATAGGTGACCAATGGAAATCAAACACTCAATGACTTTACCGTAAGTAGAACATTAACTGTAATGTTTGCGTTCTCCATGGCCATAAAGTGTCCTATTGGTTCGTTACTCATGTGATCAACTTACTGATTGGTCATGTGATCAAGAACAATGATGTACAATAATGAGCTACTGAATTGGTTGAGTTTTCACTACGTGGGTGAATCTCAATACCAAGAACGCAAAGACTTGCGGTCTTGGCAATACCGGTCATGCTAACTAGCCTCCCAGGAACAAAGTTGGGGTGCAGTGAATCATGGTATTGGTCTTGTTTGGTGAGGATGCAGCCGATGTACCCTTCATATTTGGGGGGGGGGGCAAGAATGACACCCAGGGATTTTACTGTCCTCTGTACTCTGTTACAAAGAGCGCTGTCCTCAGATGGAAGCCCATCCTGTTTCAAACAAAGCCCGGGGGGTGTGTCGGAATGCCCCCCACCGTACCTCAGCCCGTAGCCGCTCGTCCACCAGCGTCTGCTTGTCGGAGATGGCAGCGTAGCGCTGCTCCTTCAGGTGGGCCATCTCCTCCTCGCTGATCGCTCTGTGGTACCACGGCAAGCGACAGCGTGAGTTACCCGCTACAATAGGATCCTCATCACTATACCAAATTTAACGTGTTTTTGATCATAAACAAATATGAGAGCTGACGCTCTCTCCTGGGTCAGAGAACGCCTTTTGAGGATAAATCATTTTTATTTTATTTTTAATAAAATAAAAAAAAAAATGTTGATTGAAATCCAGATATGAAATCTTGATGGAAGCGAATGGTGATTAGGGAGTACCTGAGACAGCTGCCGGGATTTCCCTCCTGAAAACCAGAAAGCAGGAGAACATGAGGACACTCAGAAATGGGTCCTTCACAGGCTTCCTCTATCCAGCTCACAAAGTGTACCCGGGCTGGACCACGGCACACAGCGGACTTACCTCATCGCTCTCCACCAGGTTCTCAAACTGGGAAGGCAAGCAAAGAGCTCTGAGTGTGACACTGACACGTGAAAAGTGTGATTTTTCATGGTGACGAGTATCAAGTACAAAATACATGGTGAATGGTAAATGGACTGCGTTTATATAGTGCTTTTCTACTCCTACGAGTACTGAAAGCACTGTACAATTCCTGCCTCACATTCACCCATCCATACCACACATTCATACACCGGTGGTCTCTGCCTGGTGTTAAAAAAAACACCTAGTCAGAATATAAAAATATAAAATCCAAATACCTCTACAGTGCAATGGTCCCCAACAGCTTTAAAGTATTTAGACCTGTGAAAAAAATTAAATGCAATCAGGAGAAAGCCTGGGAGAATATATTAAAATGAAACCGCTCATGGAAAGTGGACAGAAAGGGAAAGGAGACTCTTCTGTCTGAAAATGCACATTTCTACATCAATCTCTCTATTTCACAGGATGATAAGTATCTGCAAGTTACGGGAGCGCTCCTTTCTCCTCTATCTTTCAGTTTATGAAACCGACAGTAACATCGAACCGTGAGAGAGGACTGTGCTATTTTATACAGAGAAGCTGGATAAAGGGTTAAGGTCTCTGAAGAAGGCTTTTGCAGATATATAGAGAGCATCAATCCTTAAATACCAGCCCTCAAATGAAAATCTCATTATAAAGAATGAACTTTTGTATTTCAGTGTATGCAAAACTGTAACACAATGATACAGGCTATCCATTCTTTTTTCTATGAATCAAATAAATCCAGCAAATTTAATGTACAACACTAGATCCATGCATCTTCCATCGGGTAACCCTGAACAAGGGCATAGGGTGAGACACATACAGCAATTAACCGGCAGTCTGCCTGTCTTTGTACTGCAGGAGGAAGTATACATGACAAATACAGCGGGGGCAAACACAGCAACTGCCAGCCCTAGAGGTGATGCAATAATGCTACTCACTGAGCCACTGTGCTACCCGACAACAGTGTTTTTCAACCCAGTCCTCAGGGACCCTCACAGTCCACACTGCAGGGATCTGGGACGGAGCAAAAACGTGAACCTGGGGGTCCCCACAGACCGGGTCAGGAAACACTGCCCTACAACACTACAAATATACTATACCGTATTGATATTTGTCTTATTTGGCTGATAACACAGACACATGCTTTTAAAAGTGGACAGTCCTTGAACGCCACTATTATTTTGCATAGTAAATATTTACATACTGTACAGACCAACCAAATAAAGCACATTCAGAAATGACAGGACTTGATGTCCAGCCCTTATGACGCATACGGTTATCAACAGCCGTATGAATAAAAAATGTATTTATTTCGTTTTAGGCTAAAATAATCTTACGTGTTTTAAAACCAGCAGCAATTTTAGGGTGGTTAAGCTAGGTATAATGGCGTCATTTCATGGAAGTGACGCATGCGTCTTTGGTCCTCAAAGCCTTAACAGTATTTTTGAAATTTTGCATTGAAAATTAATTATCCATGCCCGGGAAATTCCGCCAAGTATTAATTTCCGCATTTGGCAGACGACAGAAAGCGGGTAAAATACACCAACAAAAACGCTGCTGTACCGGTAATTTACCAGCAGATTGCGATCCAGGTGAACAACAAGTAACTTTTTTTTCCAATTTTTACTGCTTGTTCACTACGTTAATGCCATAATGGGCAGGTAACACCAATATATCAGGGGCTATGTATAAAAATGGGCAACTTTGTATATCACTTTTATTAAGTGGCAAGTCTTCAAGAATAAGACATTTTAATGGAAAGCCTGAAGTTTCCAGTCATATGCAACGTGTTCCATAAGGCACATAGGCTCTGTTTAAATCGGGGGGAAATGTTTCCCGATAAAAGGGGAAATTAACCGCGTAGATGTAAATGAATCCGACGTCTGCAGCCACTTTACCCGCCTCCTCTTTTGATCCTGTTCGTTTCCTTTCGGAATATCGCACAACACCTGGTCCAGCAGTTCCCCATTGCATGCTGTCAAAAAGATCATCAAAATTTCAATACTTAGATGTCAATGACTCAGGCACCACTGTCAACACACCGCCACAAACGTCCACATGTACTGGAGCATTAATCTAGCGCCTCTTATATACTATAGCAAAATCCACTATGCCTTGTTCATTCATTCGAAGCATATAACACGTTTCATATGGTTTAAGTTGACGAGGTATCGCTGTACAGTCATCGTGTGTTTTTTTTAAAATAAACTATCAGCAGGAATCCCTCTTCCTTGTTGAAACACATGTGATTGCCTCTAAACTACGGAATGCCGTGAGGGTCAAACTGACTTCGGGTAGGCTGCCAACGCGAAGGTAAAATGCAACTGCAAGACGTGTCACGCCAGTAGAGTGAACTTAGAACTAGGTTACTTTATGGTCATATAGCTGGCCGAGGGAATATATAGCGTGACGTATCGGGCGAAAGGTCTGGTGAAATGAACCAAAGTACAGGCAAGAAGAAACACAGCTGCTGCCCGAGTAATTCAAATGTCACGCCAACGTTTCTATTAATGTACAGAGCAAAATAATAACTAACGTAATTCTACCCTCAAATATCAAGAAATATTTCAGATCCATTAGGCCATGTTTTAGACCATCATCATCATCATCATCATCATCTTTCTTCTTCTTCTTTTTCTTCTTCTTATTATTATTAAGGGTCCAAAGCACGTAGTCCTATGGAACCTTCTTGTTTTTGTTAAGATTATTATTATTATTATTATTATTATTATTATTATTGTTTTGTAGTGCTGACCTCACAGAATAACTGAGCATAGCTATTGCAGTAGATTACGGGTGTCAAACTCTAGTCTTTTTGGGTTTCCCCCCATTTAACACATCTGATTTAACTCCTTGTGCTAATTACTACACAGCTCTTGAGCTGAATCACTTGTGGTGGAACAGGGAAAGAACTATACAGGGCCCCGGCCCCCCAGGACTGCAATTTGACACCCCGGCAGTAGATAAATAATACCCCTCCCCCGCGTACGTCGTTGCCCTTTAAGAGCGCAGAGGGGTGTGTCTCTGGGCTGGCGACGTGGAGGCGGCGCTGTTTCATCATCGCGTACGGTAAACAAATAAGTTAAAAACGAACATAAATGGATGTTAACTAGATTGTGCTTTGCGACATACAAATGTAATTTTAAATTATTATGGTATTTGGCGTCTATAGGTAGCCTATGGTGTTAATGAGGATACCATATTTCGATGCATTAAGAAGACGAAGCTTGTGCAGGCACTTGTTAATTAATACTAACTATATGCAGTAATATGCAAGCATATGAGAAACTTTTTCTCCATGGGATATTAAACCATGTGTTCAGATTGTGCCAGCTCATGCATATTCCATTGACAATATTCGCTGGATGGTTAAATTGTATATACATCCGTGGCAATTTATCACTCCCTTTGTGGCGTCAAACAAATCAACACGACAAAAAGCGTTTGCAAGGTGCAGTTTGCCGCCATTGTGTTTCATTGCTGAGCTGACGCCTTTAACTGTACAACGTTTACGTTCTTTCCGTGTCGTCACGGGAGTTCCTCCGGGTTTTCCCCATAGTCCAAAACATGCTGAAGTGAGGAGGACAAGCGGGTATAAAACGTGGGTGGATGGACCTTGAAATATAGTACTTAACCGTCTGAACACGTTAGAGAGAAGTTCAGGAAAAGTGGTTTCAGGTTTGCCAGTTGTCATGCATCTGGCGTGACAGTCTATATTATTACATTAGCCTATAAACCTAAAATTAGCTACATCAGAAGTGTTGGGGTAGTTTGCAAGCCCTACAGACTATTTACAACTTTCACATGTAAACGTGTGCGCATGTGAGAGCTGACTTCTCCCCAAAGTTGGCAGCCCTGGAACTGTCCTCGAGGCCACTTCCGGTCAGCGCAGAGCCCACGTGCTTCGCGGCGATCATTAAGCCCAGCGCTGATTAGTGTTTGCTGTTTGCAACAACAATGTAACGTCAGACAGTTTGGGTGGCTTAAGCAGCTATGCAGTTTTGATATCAATTTATTCCCAATTTATAAATGTTTCCCAGTTGAACACCTGTTTTGGAGCTGTTTTAAGGATTCGTTTAATTTTAATCTATATTATAGGCACGTTTAAAAGCCTGGCACGTTTAAATTCATATTTATCCATTTGTCATTCCTCTTTCTGTAAGTTTGACACACAACTTCCCATCTACTAGTTTGTGAGTAAGCCTTATCACAATCTTAGTTTTTACACATGTAACAGGTCTGAAATATAATTTATCCATAGGTGTATCACATGCTTTGTGAAATGTGATTTTTGCATATGTGTGTACTTTGGTAGATATATGTAGATGTTTGATTTTGTTGTGATTTTGTTTGAAGTTTCAATACGTATTTTTTTTTTTTTTTTTTTTTGTTAGTCTACCTGGATAAGGATTTCAATTGGTCATAGAAGGAACCATGGCAACAGTGGGCCAGGTATGTGAGAGGCTGACCATGTTTCCTGTAAAAGTAGAGCAAATGCATTACTTAAACACAGTACTCAAAACACTATTGTGTATTATAAAGATACCTTTTGCGATTTCAGAAATGGTCTGGTTATTTAATCAGTTTGCCTGCCGGGCATGCGTGAAGGAATGAACTGCAGGTTTGGAGTGTGTGGTACAGTTCTGCATGGATCTGAGATGAGAGAACCATTGTGTGGCCTCCAGGTGATCAAATGCAGGGCGGCTGTGGCCTGGGAGGCAGGGAAGCCCCTGTCCATTGAAGACGTGGAGGTGGCCCCTCCCAAAGCCCACGAAGTCCGCATCAAGGTGGTAATCCAGCGGCAGACGTGTGGTCATGTGACTGACCATGTGACCCACCAAACATATGAATTTAAACAAATTTTCCTTGTATTTTTTTTTTTGTCCAATAGGAAAATGATTATTTGTTGTGGAACTACTGAAAAGAACCTTAACTTTGTGTGTTAGTTCTGTGAGACATTTTTGCTTCGCTTTAAAAAACAATTAAAAGAAATTAACTTCAGTGTTAGCTTTTTTTTTCCTTTTCTGATAAATCCCCTAGAGATGTGGGTGAAGTGGTTAGGTAATTTCCCCGTTTTTGAATCAGTGTTTTTATCTTTGCGGTTAACAGTGTGTGCAAAGATATTTCTCAGCCTGAGCTCTTGGTTTTTGAAATGCGTCACGGTAATGGCGCCGTCCGTGCATTCTGTCAGACCGCAGCCAGTGGCGTGTGCCACACAGACTGGGCCTACCTGTTCGAGGCTGGCAAGGGCATGCAGATGCGACCCTTCCCCCTCATTCTGGGCCACGAAGGCGCTGGAGTGGTGGAGAGCGTAGGCCCCGGCGTGTCCAAATTCTCACCGGGTGAGTCTGTGCACATGCGCAACCTACTCACGCCACAGTGTAAATCATTTCCAGTCTTTAGAGTTTGAATGTAGACTGCGTAATGTTTACTATGCCATGCTAAAATACAGGACAGTTCGGCAAAAAAAGCACAGTTAGAGGCTCATGACTTATACTCGTCATAAACTATGGCAAACTTTGAGAAATCCATGATTTTTACCAATCTACTTAAAACGTAATTGGTTTGAATGCTCATTAACACCCGCATCCCGCCTCTCAGCTTGCAGGAGTTTTACTTACACAAAAATGTTCTGAGGGCAGAATGAAAAATGATTGATTCAGAGAGATAACCAATCAGATTGTAGAGGAGGTGGGTCCAAGACACTTGATTGCTTGGTCCCGCCTCCTGGAGTTGTTTGGACCCACCTCACCTACAATCTGATTGGTTATCTCTCTGAACCAATCATTTTTCCTTCTGCCCTCAGAACATTTTTGTGTAAGTAACACTCCCATGAACCACCCGTCACGGAAGTTCTGGGAGTCTGCTACAAATTGACATCAGCTCCCTGACACCCACGAATGATGCACAGTGGCCTGGAAATCTGTCATTCAGCTTTTCAATGGCGGTAAAATTAACCGGCAAGGTATTTTACTGGCACAACGCCGGACCACCCGAACACCCCCTCCTAGTTGTCCCTCATCCACCTCCCTGACATCGATATGCAGAAGGTGAGATGTCTGTTACCAGCTGCGTAAAATCATAAACGGTTTACATTTCAGTCGTGGGATCAGTTAGGAAACTCTGCAGAGTAATTTGCTTGTAAAAGTTTCTTTGAGGGTCCTTCTCAATTTTAGCCTTGCTGTCAGTGAGCTGCCACTCTCATTCGCAAACTGAAACTGAAACTTGTTGAATGTTTTTCAGGGGATAAGGTGATCCCTCTTTTCCTGCCACAATGTGGAGAATGCGAATGCTGTCTCAGTCCAAAGACTAATTTATGTACCAAAAACTGGTGAGTACATACATTGTCTATGTCAATTTTAATGATGTAAACTGTAGACTGACCCCACCCTCCCCTTCAGGAATTAATCATTACTCTAAAAATTATTTAAGTATCACAAAATATTCATGACACTGTAGCCCTAAACAGTTTCCAATGACTGCTAATTTCAATCAAATTCAGCTCTATTTATCTTAATCCCATGCCTTAAGTTGTGTGACTGTTAACCTGGTGAGCTGATGATTAGAAAGTGATGCTGATAATATTTTATACAGTTTTTAAAGATGATGTTGTAACATCATGTCCAAAAGCAAACCAAGATCACCATCTAGTGGGGTCAAAAATACAGCAAATGGTTCATGAAGCATCATTTGGCCATCGCTACTATATCCATCTGGAGGTGAGGACTTTTATTCTGAAGTTCTTGTTCTCCATTAGGACCAAAACACAGCAGGGAGTCCTGGCTGATGGCACGAGCAGGATCTCATGCAAAGGGAGACAGGTGTACCAGTTCATTGGCATCGGCTCCTTCTCCGAGTACACCGTCGTCTTGGACACCTCGGTGACCAAGATCCGTGATGATGCTCCCCTGGATAAAGTGTGTCTGCTGGGATGTGGAGTCTCCACGGGCTATGGGGCCGCCCTCAACGCTGCCAAGGTGACTCTGTTTCCCAGGATCCTCCACTCTAATGCCACACACACACTTATAACATGTGCTATAGGGGAATGGAAGGACTGGAACATGAGCCCCTTTTGAAGGCATTTGACTGATATCTGTGACCAGGGCTGCAAATTAAACTTGGCCACTGTGTTGAGGTGAGTGATTTGAATGAAGCATATGCACAAAAAAACTGGGCACTAGCCTTCTCCGACTACAATTTTACTGAACTAGCCTAGTTGGCTAGTAGCAAAGATTCTTAAGTTTCACCCGTTTGTAACTGTGCATTCTTTCTACCTGAACTCCAGAAGTTTATCTTACTCACCAACCCTCTATGGCAGAAAATAAATTAATGAATAAATAAAAACACAACTGTACATATAAATAGTGACTGAAAAACTCTGTATTGAAACGAGAGCCTGCTGGAGACACTGAAGAGGCTTGTTCTCAGTCACCACCAGGATTTACTCGCTTCCCAGGTTGAGCCCGGCTCCAGCTGTGCCGTGTTCGGGCTCGGCGCCGTGGGTCTGGCGGCGGTGATGGGCTGCAAGGCCGCCGGCGCCACCAGGATCATCGCTGTCGACATCAACCCCAACAAGTTTGAGAAGGCGAAGGTCTTTGGGGCCACCGAATTTGTTAACCCCAAAGACCACAACAAGCCCATCCAGAAGGTGCTGGCTGAGATGACCAACGGAGGAGTGGACTTCTCCCTGGAGTGTGTCGGGGATGTAGCAGTGATGGTGCGTATGGCTGGAGATGTGTCACAATAGTCTATTGTCTTAAAAAATGTCTGAAGTGGATGGAATCCATAGGTACAGGCTATGTGGTCCTATGATGAACTACTAAGTCTTGAGGTTTCAGCTCATATTTAATTCATACAATAAGTAGGAAAGTTCTTAAATTATTATATGGGATTTAAAATTGCAGGGTTGTTCTGTAGTTCACGATGTCTGTGTGAATGCCCAAACTCGCTCCAGCTTGGTCATGGTGCACCATCGCTGTGAGGCCACGTCCTTCTCCTTCCAGAGGGCCGCCCTGGAATCATGTCGTTCGGCTTGGGGTACATGTGTCATCGTGGGCTGGACAGAGCTGGCGGAGCTCACCCTGGCCCCCTATGACCTCTTATTGGGTCGTACCCTGAAGGGGACTTACTTTGGCGGTGAGGGTTTTGTTTCCGCTGTCCAAATATGCAGCACTTGCTATCGATTAAGGGGAGATGTTTTTTTTTTCTAATTCACCACTACAGCACATTTCACCAATACAGTGTAAATGAGAGACTCAGTCCTCTCCAGCATGCTGTGGGCGTCCCCTACGAATGCTAGCATCTGCTTGACTAGTGAGTCTTGTTCCCCCCCCCCAGGCTGGAAAAGTGTGGAGGGTGTGCCGAGGCTAGTCGATGACTACATGAACCAGAAGCTGTTGTTGGATGAGTTTGTGACCCACACCCTGCACATAGATCAGATTAACGAGGCCTTTAACCTCATGACCAGGGGAGAAAGGTAACAACATAATCAGTATATATACCATCATTGCTCTCGCAGATATTAGCACTGTATTGCTATGGTTGTAAGGTGTGAGAGTAGCTATTTTGCTATTAGCACTACATGTGTAATTATGTTCGTTATTGATTTCTCGCGTAGCCAAAAACAGACGTACTAACAGCTTGCGTCGTTGCTTCCTGTCCACAGCATTAGATCAGTAATAAAGATGGAATAAATCGCTGCTGCTTCCTGAAGACGGAGAACCGAAGGTGTCTTCTCGAACCTACTGCCCGTTTATATTTTCCTGATCTGACTCCTTGCTTAATGCGTGTGGGTGGTAGGCAGATAGACATTTTGTGTTGTAAGATTTATCCCCCTGTAGGGCTCTCTGGAAAATATTGCATAGAGCCTGATTGTTTGGTATATAAGTCAGACTGCATTAAGACACAAGAAGACTGGACGGATGATTTGAAAACTGTTGTGAAATAACACACTGCCTGTGTAACTCCGTGTTGTGGTTTTTTTGGAATCCAACACACTCTGATTCTCGAGAACCATTGGACATTTTCTCCTTTTATTGGCGAAACCTGACAGGAACAGAAACAAACACTCCTCAGTAATAGCAGCATACAGGCCTCTACATGCAAACCTGAGTCATGGGGGTATTACAGCACACATAAAGCCACCAACACACAAAGGTAACCCCAACTGCAAATATATATATGTGTGTGATGAGACATTATTGGTATGATTGTAGCATTAGATTGTGCAAGAGAATGACAATACAATAGACTTTGATTAAATCATTAACAGGACATACATAAACCTTCCTTGCTGCAGTATATATTAAAAGTGTTTAGGACTTACGCTCATAAATGCAGGAACACAGGGAAAAAGGGGTGGAGCCATATGCAATAAGACTTAACAAGCAAGTATGGAGAACACAGCTGTCAGGTATGGATGTAAATAAACAAAACATAAAATACACTGATTTTGTGTAATTATACACAGGATAATCCCGGTTACACCTGTAGCTTTGAGTTGCTCAGCCAAATCACTGGCTGACCTGTACTATTTGCATGTGAACTTCCTGTTTCCCTTCTATAACCTATACATTTATTCTTGTAGTTCTACTCATGCAACTTTGTTCAGTAAAGCCTCCTGTTCCATGAAAAGAAAATGATGAAGAGAGGGCTCACTTCCTGAAGCAGAGACCTCGATGTTGGTGTGATGAGTTCAGGTCCTGAAGCCCCTATGTTCAGCTGTTAAGCACAGCACTGACTGCAGAAATATCTTAAAAAAGACGTTTTATGTGATTGTGTTGCGGATTAATGCTAATTTCCATCCATTAAGTCAACTTACTTACTGTTAATGTAAATTGTTCTTCAATTCCAGCAGTTGGGTTTCTGTGCCTATATTTGGAGTTTTACTGCCATCATATGACTGAAAGCATGCAGTGCACATTGTACTTTTGTCATCTACAATAACTGCATTAAATAACATTTAGATACTTCATTGACTCCTTTATCTTTCTGTCATAGCTGGATGGTAGTGTCATTCTAGGATGCATATAGGTATTGCTATGCTACCATTCAAGAATGCATTTAGGTATCGCTATGCTACATGCTACCATGTGCTCTGAGAACATTGCAAATGAATTTTGAGAAACAAGTTTCGGGAATTATTGAAAATACAGTGGTACCTCAGTTCTCGAACTGATTAGAACTCGAATTTCTTAAAAGTCGAACCAACCAGTTTGAAAATTTTTTTTTTACCTAGGACTCGATCTGAATCTCAGAAGTCAAACGGTGAACGCTGACCTAAGATAACTTGTACGCGTGGGAAACGCAGCACGTCTCTCAGCTGAAACAAAAGGTAAGGCTTCAGTCTCAGCCTGGCATTGGCTGTGATAGCATCGTGCATGTTTACACTAGCTGAATACATATTTTTAGACAGTAAAAATACATTTAGACAATGATAGACAGTAACAGTAATTATTATATAATAAAATACATTTAAAAATAAAGATTTCTTAATTATTTTAATATTAATAATAAACTGTAATGTTGTGATAATGCGCTATACAAAAATAAATTTGTTGTTGTTGTAAACCATTAATACATTTAATTATAATAATATTGTCCTGCCGAGCAGGGACGGAACGGAGACAAAGGCGCAGATGTCAGGGTATCGGGGAATACGGGGTTTAATTACAGGTAAGGCAGGCAAAACGCAGACGGACAATACAATGACCGGACTGGGGAAACAAACTGAAACGCGGACGAAATACAGAGG